TTGTTCATTTCTGGACAACATTGGATGGACAGTGGATTGCGCTCAATTTTAGCAATTATGAACAATGCTGTTAAGGATATTCTTGTCCTGAACATATGGGCATATATTCTCTAGAATGGGCATATAGTCTCTAGAATATGCCTAGAAATAAAATTCATGGGTCATGGGTGTAACTGAACGTTTAACTTTACAATGAACTGCCATGCAGTCCTCAAAGTGATTTGCCATTTTGTATACTCATGAACAATCCCTTGAATCATGTCACCAGTTCCTGACATCCTCATCACCAGCTCTAATGCATTTTACATCCATCCATTCATCCCTCCACCATCTTCATTTTTCTTTTCTTGGCCAGTGCAAGTCCTTCACTTGTGGATCATTGTAACCCTTCTCTAGCAACCATCCTCAGTGATGGCCCTTAGGAGCAAATCAAAAACTGAAAAGCCTTAGGGAGTCTAAAAGGGAGGCTGTGCAGTCCTGCTGGGCTTTTATCCCAGTTCAGTGCAGTCACTCAGTCGTGTCCAACTCTGTGCGACCCCATGGACTGCAGCACGTCAGGCTTCCCTGTCCATTATCAACTCCCAGAGCTTACTCAAATTCATGTCCATCGAGTCAGTGATGCCATAAAACCATCTCATCCTCTGTTGTCCCCTTCTCCTCCCGCCTTCAATCTTTCGCAGCATCAGGGTCTTTTCTAGTAAGTCAATTCTTTGCATCAGGTGGCCAAAGTATTGGAGTTTCAGCTTCAGTCCTTCCAATGAATATTCAGGACTGATTTCCTTTAGGATAGACTGGTTGGATCTCCTTACAGTCCAAGGGATTCTCAAGAGTCTTCTCCAACACCACAGTTCAAAAGCATCAGTTCTTCGGTGCTCAGCTTTCTTCACAGTCCAACTCTCACATTCATACATGACCACTGGAAAAACCATAGCTTTAACTAAACGGACCTTTGTTGGCAAAAAGAAAAAAAAAAGCTTCTGCCCTTTAATATGCTGTCTAGGTTGGTCATACTTCTCCTTCCAAGGAGCAAATATCTTTTAATTTCATAGCTGCAGTCACCATCTGCAGTGATTTTGGAGCCCCCCAAAATAAAGTCTCTCAGTTTCTTTCCATTGTTTCCCCATCTGTTTGCCATGAAGTGATGGGACCAGATGCCATGATCTTAGTTTTCTGAATGTTGAGCTTTAAGCCAACTTTTTCACTCTTCTCTTTCACTTTCATCAAGGGGCTCTTTAGTTCCCCTTCACTTTCTGCCATAAGGGTGGTGTCATCTGCATATCTGAGGTTATTGATATTTCTCCCGGCAATCTTGATTCCAGCTTATGCTTCCTTCAGCCCAGCATTTGTCATGATGTACTCTGCATATAAGTTAAATAAGCAGGGTGACAATATGTAGCCTTGATGTACTCCTTTTCCTATTTGGCACCAGTTTGTTGTTCCATGTTCAGTTCTAACTGTTGCTTCTTGACCTGCATACAGATTTCTCAGGAGGCAGGTCAGGTGGTCTGGTATTCCCATCTCTTTCAGAATTTTCCAGTTTATTGTGATCCACACAGTCAAAGGCTGTGGGTAGTCAATAAAGCCAAAGTAGATGTTTTTTCTGGAACTCTCTTGCTTTTTTGATGATCCAACGGATGTTGGCGATTTGATCTCTGGTTCCTCTGCCTTTTCTAAACCCAGCTTGAACATCTGGAAATTCACAGTTCACATTGCTGTTGAAGCCTGGCTTGGAGAATTTTGAGCATTACTTTGCTAGCATGTGAGATGAGTGCAATCGTGTGGTAGTTTGAACATTCTTTGGCATTGCCTTTCTTTAGGATTGGAATGAAAACTGACCTTTTCCAGTCCTGTGGCCACTGCTGAGTTTTCCAAGTTTGCTGGCATATTGAGTGCAGCACTTTCACAACATCATCTTTTAGGATTTGAAATAGCTCAACTGGAATTCCATCACTCCCACTAGCTTTGTTCATAGAGATGCTTCCTAAGGCCCACTTGACTTCACATTCTAGGATGTTTGGCTCTGGGCAAGTGATCACACCATCGTGATTATCTGGGTTGTGAAGATCTTTTTTGTACAGTTCTTCTGTGTATTCTTGCCACCTCTTCTTAATATCTTCTGCTTCTGTTAGGTCCATCCCATTCCTGTCCTTTATTGTGCCCATCTTTGCATGAAATGTTCCCTTTGTATCTCTAACTTTCTTGAAGAGATCTCTAGTCTTTCCCATTCTGTTGTTTTCCTCTATTCCTTTGCACTGATCACTGAGGAAGGCTTTCTTATCTCTCCTTGCTCTTCTTTGGAACTCTGCATCAGATGGGAACATCTTTCCTTTTCTCCTTTGTCTTCAGCTTCTCTTCTTTTCTCAGCTATTTGTAAGGCCTCCTCAGACATTTTGCCTTTTTGAATTTTTTTTCTTGGGGATGGTCTTGATCACTACCTCCTGTACAATGTCACGAACCTCTGTCCATAGTTCTTCAGGCACTCTGTCTATCAGATCTAATCCCTTGAATCTATTTGTCACTCCCACTGTATAATCATAAAGGATTTGATTTATGTCATCCTTCTCCATCAGAGGGCAGACAGAATGGAAACCACAATCACAGAAAACTAACCAAACTGATCACATGGACCACAGCCTTGTCTAACTCAAGGACACTATGCCATGTAGGGCCACCCAAGTTTTATCCCACTCATCCTCACTATGCTTATTCCTCTCTGCACAGCTCTGACTTCTGTGTCACCCCACCCTCAGCAGTAGACAATCTTCTCTGCAAATTGTTTTCTTTGCTTATTTCCTTCATCCTTGCAACCTTCATCTCTCATCACAGTGGATCATTCCTTTTTTGTCAACAAATGTGCTTTAATACCTCTTGCCTTAAATTTAAACCAAACCAAGTCAAAGCAAAAAAGTCTCTTTGATTTCTCATTCTCCAATTTTTAACTCAGTCTAATAGAAAAAATTCTGAAAAATTTCTGCACAGTTTTGTAGGAATGTAGTGTAGATGGCAGCATCTCCCTTCATTTGTCACACCATTTGTTTCAGTGTCATTTTCCTGTCCTTTACTCCACTTCTCAGCTGGCCACTCCCTCAACACACTTTATTTCTCGGTTTTGGTGGTTAAGTATTTTTGGGTGCCTCCCACAACTCTGTTCATTTTTTAACTACTTTTCTGGAGTCATCCAGAGTGGTTTCCAGACTCTCAAATACTGGAGTTCTCCAAGACTGGATCTTGGATCTTCTTTGTCCTATATCTTTCTCTCTTTTTTTTTTTTTAAATAAGTATTACTCCTTTTTAAAATAAATTTTTAGACATTCTTTCAAGAATAATTTTAGGCTTAACAGATATATGGAGCAGATAGTTCAGTGGCTTCCCAAGTATTATTCCCTTTCATCTTTTTAAAGCTCAGATTGAAGCAGTGGACTCCAATATGTATCTTCAGTCCAAAGTTCTGCCGGGAGCTCCAGATTGGTACATCTAGAGATTTTGGGGGGTTTTTTTGGATGTCGCTAATTGGATGTCCAGTTGAAAATATTTCCATCTTAAGGTCCAAGACAATTTTCACTTCTTTGGCCTAAATCTGTCTTGTTTCTCCCCAGTCCTTTCTGTGTTCAGGACACTGAGCCGCTGTAGCCTAGTTACTCAGGCAGCAGAAGATCGTCTTGGATTCCTCCCATTTCCTTTACCTCTCCTCAATTCTGTCGTTTGTAGTTCCAGGACCCATCTTATGTCTGTTCCACTGTATCCATCAGTGTCTCTCCACTGCTTAAAACCACTCAGTCGTTTCCCACTGTGCTTCACACAGATCTGGACTCCTGACAATGGTGTTCGAGGCTCTGCATGACAGGGAGGCATTCATCTTCTCAGCTCTGTCGGTGTCTCACTCCACTCCCAGCTCTCACTCCCCACATCTCTATGCTCTTCCCCCTGTGGGGCAGGGTCCACTCCTGCTCCCCACACAGCTGTGGTCTCCCCATCACCCAGCCCTCTGTTGAGACAGTGCCATCTTCCAGCAGGGCCCAGTGATCCTTTGTGACCAACTTCATTAGTGTATCCATTTCGATTCTATCATATTTACCCTTTTTATTCTAAGTTCAAAAATTTCACTTACTGATCGTTTACATGCCCACCTAGATTCTATGCCCTATGAAGACAGAAGGAAGTCATTTTACTCACTACTACCTGGTTGCTGGCACATGAGGTGCACATGAATGCATGATTTCTCTATCTTTTCCGCCTTCAACCAGTAGCTGTGTGGGATGAGGTCTCCCCACTTCCCACTAGTCCTCTCACTTGTCCCATCTCATGCCCTGTCAGTTTTGCCTCTCCTGGTCCAGGGGGTTCCCCTTCCACAGGCAGACTCCCCCTCTCCATCCGACATCTCCTACCCACAGAGGTAGTTCCTGAGGCAGAAAGTCACTGTGCACTGTCTGAGAAAACTGCCTCCCTGGCATCTCCCACAGGTAAGACTGTCACTATCATAACCTCTCCCAGAGCCTTGGAAGATGAAAGAGAAGGAGCTAAGGGCTCTTGGGGCAGCTCAAACTTGACTTTTCCAAGAGTGTGGTCACCATTCACTTGCATTTAACACAGCATTTCTGCACCTGGTAATAGAAAGTAATACACATATGCACACTCACACATACATTCACATGTGTATACACATATGCACACACACACATGAAGGCATAAACATGCACAGACAACACACATGTATACATGCATAAACACAGGCATACATGTACACACACATACACAGAAATGTCCACACTTATCCTCATGCACAATGCATTCAGACATGCACACACACATGGATGCAAACACATGCACACACAAGCATGTAGACATAGATGCTTACACACATGGATGGATACACATGCACACACTTAGGCACATACATACACATACACTTAGGCGCATACATGCACACACACATGGGAAACGGTCTCAAAATGCAGGCTGAAGCCAGAAATAATCTTGATTTGCCTCATGGTAGCCTTTGTTCACCACCTTTCAACATCTTCTTGAGTAACTCTAGATTTCCCACACTTATTTCTATCATAAATAAGTGTGTGAGAGAGAAAAGCTAGAGTCCATGTGTCATAGAAGGATGAGCCTTTCTGCCCTTTCCTATTTTCCTGAGACAAGTGCCCCTGCCCTTTTACCCCTGCTCCATGAAAGGAGGTTAGTGCTTCTGGCTCCCTTTGCTTGGGGGAGTGGGTCAGGGATAAGACCTGAAATGGCCTGGGAAGCAGAGCCTCAAAGCCTCCAAAAATGGCCCTCACCATAGATAAGCTTTTCCTCTCTATAGCTTGTAATAAAACAAAAAGATGTGAAACTATGGGGTTCATCTTAGCAAATAGAGCCAAAGCTCATTTGGCTTTGAGATTAAGAGAAACTAAGTCAAAACACGGCTTACCAAGTTCTTCTTAACATCTCTCTGTAACAGAAAAACAAATGCATGTTTTTAGCACCTAATAAAACAGTAGCAGAGGTCATCTTATTCCTTGGGAAAACTGCAAGTGCATAGCCTGTTGACCGAAGACTTGTCTCCAACATAATGCAGACTTTCTGACCAGCCAAGGGATGGTCTCTACTCTGTTCTCAGAATAGGGGCCTGACATCTACGAGTAAGTTCCCAGCTCCTGAAATGACCCAAAAGGCAGGAGATGGAGTGAACCAATGAATAGAACAATAAATATTGATGCTAATCCTAACAATAAGCACAAACTCCTTCCATATGCCAGATATACAGCTGTGTTTGATCCCTTCAACAGGGTTTCAAAATGGTATCACCACCCAAATTGATGAACAGTCATGTTCAAGCTCAGCTATGTCTTGTTTCCCAGAGGGAGACCCACCAGCCTTCCTGAAATCACCTGGTGAAGAATAACCCTCGATCTTTCAGAGACAAAGCCTTCACTGTTCACATGGTAACTGAGCAATCCCAGAACTGGGGCACCAGAGGTCATTCCATTTCTACTGCATTTGAGGACACCCAAAGGAAAGCTTTAGCACAGGGCTTTACGTGAGTGCCCCTCGCTTGCATCCCCTTGGGGGATGGTCCATGCACACTGTGAAATGTAGCCTGCCCATTCCTCCTGGCTCGCCATCCCTGCTCCTCTGTCCCACGTGCTCCCTCTCCTACCAGCCATTGTCAATACCTTTCCCCTTGATGATGCCATAAGACACAGATGATTCCAGCCATTGCAAGTCCCACTGCAACCAGGATCAGAGCCACAACCATTTTCCATGCCACTGTCTGGAATTCTGTGTGGGGAGTTGAAGGCATTTCCAAGAAGTCAAGGATATTAGGGTGAAAGAGCCTCTTGGTCCTCAGGATAGAGATGATACAGGGTTCATGGTTCAAGGGGAATGAGATTTATAAGTATTTGTTACATCATTCTGAAATGCTTTGCATCTATTCTGAAATGCTTAGGAGAATTAAATATGTGCATTTGTGTAGAGACAGCTGGATAGATGCACAGGAGAGAGATAATAGAAAAAGAAAGAAATGGTTAAAATGGCATAAAAGTTAAACATTTGGTAAATCTGGATAAAAACTGCACAGAATTCTGTGTATTATTCTTGCAAATTTCTGTAAATTTGAAATTATTTAAAAATACAAAAAGTATACACACTTTAACTTGAGAGTCATTGAGATGTCTTTCAATGGGTGATTGGGTAAATAAACTGTGCTACCAGCTGAATTCTACCAAAAATTTAGAGAAGAGCTAACATCTGTCCTACTCAAACTCTTCCAGAAAATTGCAGAGGAAGGTAAATTGCCAAACTCATTCTATGAGGCCACCATCACCCTAATACCAAAATCATACAAAGATGCCACACAAAAAAGAAAACTACAGTCCGATATCACTGATGAACATAGATGCAAAAATCCTTAACAAAGTTCTAGCAAATAGAATCCAACAACGTATTAAAAAGATCATACATCATGACCAAGTGGGCTTTATCCCAGGGATGCAAGGATTCTTCAATATTCACAGGTCAATCAATGTGATACACCACATTAACAAATTAAAAGATAAAAACCATATGATTATCTCAATAGATGCAAAGAAAGTCTTTGACAAAATTCAACATACATTTATGACAAAAACCCTCCAGAAAGCAGGCATAGAAGGAACATACCTCAACATAATAAAAGCCATATATGATAAACCCACAGCAAATATTATCCTCAATGGTGAAAAATTGAAGGCATTTCCCCTAAAGTCAGGAATCAAACAAGGGTGCCCACTCTCGCCACTACTATTCAACATAGTTTTGGAAGTTTTAGCCACAGCAATCAGAGAAGAAAAAGAAAGAAAAGGAATCCAGATTGGAAAAGAAGAAGTAAAACTCCGTTTGCAGATGACATGATCCTCTACATAGAAAACCCTAAAGACTCCACCAGAAAATTACTAGAGCTAATCAATAAATATAGTAAAGTTGCAGGATATAAAATTAACACACAGAAATTCCTTGCATTCCTATACACTAACTATGAGAAAACAGAGAAATTAAATTAATTAAATTCACCATTGCAATGAAAAGAATAAAATACTTAGGAATAAACCTACCTAAAGAAACAAAAGAAATATATATAAAAAAAACTATAAAACACTGATGAAAGAAATCAAAGATGACAAATCGACAGAGAAATATACCATGTTCATGGATCAGAAGAATCAATATAGTGAAAATGACTATACTACCCAGAGCAATCTATAGTTTCAGTGGAATCCCTATCAATCTACCAACAGTATTTTTCAGAGAATTAGAACAAATAATTCCACAATTTGTATGGAAATACAATAAATCTTGAATAGCCAAAGCAATCTTGAGAAAGAAGAATGGAACTGGAGGGATCAACCTGCCTGACTTCAGACTATACTACAAAGCCATAATCATCAAGACAGTATGGTACTGGCACAAAGACAGAAATATAGATCAATGGAACAAAATAGAAAGCCCAGAGATAAATCCACACACCTATGGACACCTTATCTTTGACAAAGGAGGCAAGAATATACAATGGAGAAAAGACAATCTCTTTAACAAGTGGTGCCGGGAAAACTGGTCAACCACTTGTAGAAGAATGAAACTAGATCACTTTCTAACACCATACACAAAAATAAACTCAAAAAGGATTAAAGTTCTACATGTAAGACCAGAAACTATAAAACTCCTAGAGGGAAACATAGGCAAAACACTCTCTGATGTAAATCATAGCAGGATCCTCTATGACCCACCTCCCAGAGTAATGGAAACAAAAGCAAAAATAAACAAATGGGACCTAATTAAACTTAAAAGCTTTTGCACAACAAAGGAAACTATAAGCAATGTGAAAAGACAGCCTTCAGAATGGGAGAAAATAATAGCAAACGAAGCAATGGACAAAGAATTAATCTCAAAAATATACAAGCAGCTCTTGCAGCTCAATTCCAGAAAAATAAAAGACCCGATCAAAAAATGGGCCAAAGATCTTACAGACATTTCTCCAAAGAAGACATACAGATGGCTAACAAACACATGAAAAGATGCTCAACATCATTCATTATCAGAGAAATGCAAATCAAAACCACAGTGAGGTACCATCTCATGCTGGTCAAAATGGCTGCTATCAAAAAGTCTACAAACAATAAATGCCTGAGAGGGTGTGGAGAAAAGGGGACCCTCTTACACTGTTGGTGGGAATGCAAACTAGTACAGCCACTATGGAGAACAGTGTGGAGATTCCTTAAAAAACTGGAAATAGAACTGCCATATGACCCAGCAATCCCACTGCTGGGCATACACACCAAGGAAACCAGAAATGAAAGAGACACGTGTACCCGGAGGTTCATCGCAGCACTGTTTGTAACAGCTGGGACATGGAAGCAACCTAGATGTCCATCAGCAGACAAATGGATAAGAAAGCTGTGGCACATATACACAATGGAATATTACTCAGCCATTAAAAAGAATGCATTTGAATCACTTCTAATGAGGTGAATGAAACTGGAGCCTATTCTACAGAGTGAAGTAAATCAGAAAGAAAAACACCAATACAGTATACTAACACATATATATGGAAATTAGAAAGATGGTAATGATGACCCTATATGCGAGACAGCAAAAGAGACACAGATGTATAGAACAGTCTTTTGGACTGTGTGGGAGAAGGCAAGGGTGGATGATTTGAGAGAATAGCATTGAAACATGTATATTATCATATGTGAAACAGATTGCCAGTCCAGGTTTGATGCATGAGACAGGGTGCTCAGGGCTGGTGCACTGGGATGACCCTGAAAGATGGGATGGGGAGGGAGGTGGGAGGGGGGGGTTCAGGATGGGGAACACATGTATACCCATGGCTGATTCATGTTAACATATGGCAAAAACCGCTACAATATTGTGAAGTAATTAGCCGCCAATTAAAATAAATAAATTTTTTAAAAAAGTCTCCAACACCACAGTTCAAAAGCATCCAAAAAATAAAAATAAAAATAAAAAATGGGCTTAATCAGGGTCAACAAAGAATTCCAATTTGGGGTCCTCAGCCATCGCAAAACATGTATAAATCCCTTGCAACAAGAAGGGGAGAATTCTTTAGGGGAGAAAAATATATTGAGAGGGCTATAGCAAACAAGCTATTCATAGAAGAACTGAGAGTTCAAAGTACAGTGGCTTTTCATTGGCTGAGTTGTGACTGTGTCTCATTGGCTGAACCCTTGTCAGTCAAGAAAAGCAAGTCTTTCTTCTTCTGTTGGACTCTGCTATCATCATAGGCCATGAGAACTCCCCCATCTGGCATTTCAATTCTATTTTAACTAAAGTTTATTTTCATTAATTTTTACAAAAATAACACCACCAAATGTAGTGAGGACAAACAGAAACTGAATACCACAGGCACTGCTGGTCGGAATATAAACTAGTGCAGCCACTCTGGAACATACTGGGCAGTTTCTTATAAAACCAAACACACACTATTACAAAACCCAGCATTTGCACTCTTGGATATTATCTCAGAGAAACAAAAACTTATCTTCACACAAACACCGCACAGGAAGGAGATAAGCTCAAGATGGCAGAGCAGAAGGGCATGTACTCATCCCTTCCTCAATTCAGTTGCTCAGTCATGTCTGACTCTTTGCGATGCCATGGACTGCAGCAAACCAGGCTTCCCTGTCCATCACCAACTCCCAGAGCTTGTTCAAACTCATATCTGTTGAGTCAGTGATGCCATACAACCATTTCATCCTCTGTTGTCCCCTTCTCCTCCTGCCTTCAATCTTTCCAGCATCAGGGTCTTTTCCAATGAGTCGGTTCTTCACATCAAGTGGCCAAAGTATTGGAGCTTCAGCTT